TAACAGAATTGTACGTTTAGTTTCTAAAAATGAAATTTGTCAATGTAATTTATGAACTTTATGACAATCAATATTGCAGGGTCCTCGACCAGGCTGTCCGGCTGTGCGAAAACCCGAACCACAATGTTTGTTATTCAGCCAGGCATGTAGTCATGATAAAGAATGTCAAAAAGGTTAATTTATAATTAATAACATTCATTGCTGGATTAACTTTGAAGATTCGAATTAAATTGTGAAAATTTGTGTTGCATGGATTACAGTACAGCCTTTACATCCTTAGCTTTCATTATATTTTTGGTTCAGACAAAGCTGTTATTTTCCTATTTTAAGCAATCCTCGATTTAAATTTTCAAAACTGTCGTTGCATTGATTTCAAGCTTTCATTATGTTTTTGCTTCATGTAAAAGTGTTATTTTAATTTCTTAGTAATCCTCTGTTTCTGATATAGATTCTTTTCATCTTTCAAAAAAGTTACTAAGGATTTCATTCCGCTTCATAAGTTTTATCTTCTTGTCGTGGTAAGTTAGGTAATAAAGTTACTGTTTGGTATTAAACAATTGTATCTTTGACGTGTAAGGTTTTTTTTAAGCTCCTAAAACGAATGTGCTGTATGATGTATAAACAAGCGATCGATTTGGTGGCTGTTTTCCATCTCAAATGAAAGCGAGACATTCAAACACAGAACACCATTCTGAAATCGTGGGGTCACTTGCCGTAAAAAGTGTTCGTTTAGTGAGTAGCTTTACCTGTGAGTTGATATCCTACCACTGATTCCAATGGTCAATGGAAATCGTATCTGTGGATTAATACAATTATCTGTATATATTGAGTACTGCTCATTCTAGTACTATGACATAATTTTACGTAAATTATAAAATATTAGATAAAACATTTCTTATCGACAACTTATTTTTTAAAGCCGTTTAACTTGTCAATTTTAGACATACGAGTCAACTAGTCTTTTTTTTTTTGTAATACATGGATACATTTGTAATGAAAATTTTGATGTCAACATATGCATTTTAATATAAACATTATTCTTGAACCTGACACATAACTCATGGTTATCATCGTTCACAGAAATACCGCGATGCGAAAAGAAAACAACCGATTTATTGAATACAGTTAAACTCCTTCTTGTGATAAATTACGGATTTACATTTCTATAAGTTTATAACTTGCCGAAAATATATACTTTATGTTCACGTTACAGGTAAAATATGTTGCGGGGTTATTTGTGGAACAGGATGTGTATATCCTGTAAAACCAAATGTGAGTAAATATTTTCCAAATGTAACGCATTCACGAATCCTATTTATTTTTATCAAAATGAAAACGTATACTTATTTTGATATAATCTCTAGATACAAAAATAAATAAATATTAGATAAAAAGGCTATTGTCGCTTGTCCATTAAAATGACCACCTTTTTGATGAACATTAAGTGTCTATATTACTCATTCCAAGAATACAAATGTTAATCTTTAAATATAAAAGAGCTCCGTTTTAGTGTATTCGTATTATTTGAAGGCAAACGATATTTTATTGTATTCGATATACTACTTCTTATTTTCGTCAATGTTCCCAAGCGTGTACTTTTATTTGATTTTTTTTTATTGTAGCCCCCAAAACCTAGACATGGAGTTTGTCCGTCATTTCCGAAGGAGGTACCAGAAATTTGTAAACGTATTCGTGTGATTTCTAACTGTCATGTTGACGCAGACTGTAAAAGTAGTAAGTTCATTTTACAAGTAATTCAATCTGATTAAAATACAGTTCCTGTGTTTAAGCTTGGCATACAAGGATCTGAAAACGCTCCGTTCTACTTTCTGTTTTAAAGACCTTTCGGGATCCTCTGGTTTTGTCGGGGTAATACACACATTCAAAAATTTGAAGGCTGAAATTTCATTGGCTGATGTAAAAATTATCAGAACATTAATCAGATTGCCAGTAATTTTTCATGTAACTACAAAAATAAATAATGACATCTTAATGATTGAACATCTGTTATCAACTATTTTATTAAAATGATTACCTGAAAAGTCATATTATCAGATCAGATCTTAAAGTCTCTAAATATTTAACGACAAGATGAATATGTTTATATATTTGAATGGCTACATTTTACTACAAAACACGTGTATAAGGTCTTTTGTTTAAAGGGAAATCCTTCATTTTATAAAAACCGTCGTTAGACTGGTTCCCTGTCCTTTATCTGTTTGGCTCTGACAGATATAAGGTATATGTTGCAAGGGAGAGGACCAGCCTAAACCGTCGTCTGCTTTTCCTTTATGCAATGACCTTTCGTTTGAAATGCGGCAATCGCATAGCTGAAAAAACGTGATGAAAGAAAAGAAAACATATTTGGACGGAAAATAGTATCAACCGATTCAGAAAAATCTTTACAATTCATCATTTTACAACAGTTAAAACAAAGATTAGAAAATAAAAAAAATTGGATAGAATTGAAAATACACAAAAAACAATTTAACATTGCTTTATCATTTCACTTATTTTTCTCTTGCTCCATGCTTTTTGTGTTGATTTTTTTATCAAGGTCTGTAAACTTCGCCAACATAACCCGACAATTAATAAGAATCCAAAGTTTCTGATCAACAATCCTTAAATTAAGTATTCTTTGTCGATTATACGTTATAGATTAGGTATAAACATTAAAACATGCACATGGGACTAAGGCCGTTTTCACACCGAACATCGTTGACTGTAAACCTGTTTACAATTAGTTTCATGTAATGCACACTGGTTTCACATTAAATTTGTTCTCACCTGTACATTGGTTTTAATTACCTGTACATTGGTTTTAATTACCTGTACATGAAAATTGTTCACACCAGTAAACAACATGTGCACGTAATTTACATGTACATGACATATAATTGAATGAATGTTTTCTTTAAACTTTTTTTATGAGCATACCGATTCATATCTTTTTTTTTATTTTTCAGTTATATTTGTTTTTGAGGAGGGAGTGGGGTAAATAATGTATTGGTTTTCAGAGAGAGAGGGAAATGATAAAAATCGTTTAATTCCATTGTAAATGAAAGGCTAGGGTTTTAAACATAGAGTTTAGAAAATGTTCCAATATGTGATTGATTTTTTATTTTTTGTTTTATTAATGTAAGAATAATAATGGTTTTTCCCACGAGGATGAATGGTCGGTACCTTAAGAGTCTCGTTCTATGGATTAAAACAAGCTAAAACAGTGTAACAATAGGCATAAAAGGATTTTGAGAATGGTTATTTGATTGATTGTCTGTAGCTTAACAATCAATGGCAAGTATTTCGTGCATATTCAAGACTAGAACAAATTGACAATAAACACAATAGGTTGGTCATGTAATAGAGACCATCCGAGATGAAAATCGGGCAATTTTGACTGCCATTTGAAAATGACAGTATATTGAAGTGGGACAGAAATTTTGCATTGCAACAGGCCATTCTCTCGAAACGAGACATCGGATTTCATGTTTCCACTCTGACCAGACGTGGCTGAGTACTTGTACATCTCGCACAGCCAAACGGACGCCCCACTTAGGGAAGGGTTTTACGGCCGATCGGAAGAAGACCTAAGTGACCATATTTCTATTCCCCCAGACACCCACGGGTTAATTTTGGAAATGAATAGTCTGGACTGGAACTAACTGTAAAAAATAATCTTGTGCAAGACATGATGAAAATAAATATTTTCACCTACAAAATGCAGAACTCTAAACGAAATAGTTGTGTACAAAGAATGAAAATAATTTTCGCACTAAATAAATTAGCCGTTCTATCAATCGGTGTAAAATGAATATTCTATCAGATAATAATCCCCCCTCCCACTGAAAATCCAATCCTCCACGAAGGCTATCAAGTTTAATCATGTTTTTGGATGAGCAATTTTTTAAGTTTTTGTCATATAAATAGGTAAATAACTTCATTCATAATATTATTATAATCACTTTTATTCAATATATGTAACTTTTTTAATATTCATAATAAAATCCACGTTCTTAATATCCAGTTTTATGTACACTTAACCAACACAAGTTCTACATTTACTATCGACTGCATGTGTTCAAAACCGGATTTAAACTATATATATACATTGATTTTTATCAATGGGGACGTAATAGAGTTTAGTTTAAGTGTTGAGTACATTTACACCACACCGAGTTGAGATCAATGTGAGCACGGCCTAAGTATAGTACATATTCATACATTGATTTAATTTTTTCTTAATATTATAATAACCAGAAAATCTGTTCAAATGACTTTCAAAGTCTGGACAATAAGAAATTTTCATCACGTATTATTATTAATTTATTATGGTTAATATAGGTGTAACATACTATAAGCAAAGTATAAGCAAAAAGTGTACAACACCTCCGAAAGCTCTGTGATCACTGATAAACTACAGGTCTGGTGTATATTGTTTCGATTTAAAACATTTTCGATCAAAATGATTGTCTAGTTTGAAAACATGTTGGCATTGGAAAAAGATCAATCACATCAGTTAGCAATTTAACTGGAATGCCATCAACATATACTTCTACAAGTGCTAGGCTTCTATTCAATTTATCAACAAACGGTTATTCTATGTTTTTGAGGACCTCCCTTCTACGGTTAATGTTTTCATTTTTTTATAAAGTCTAACGTTTTCTCTGTAAAGTCTGACTTTTCTCTGTTTTGTGAACTGTTTGATGTATTTTTATTATTTTTTTTCCGCCCCCGTTTGATTGAGCAAACGTCTTCTAACATATCCTTGAAACTAATGTGCCACTTGTATTGAATAACTGTATGTAAAAAGTACTGCTTTATCTAAGATTCTTATCCGTATTGATTTTACTTTTCCAAGGACTGATATTTACTGAGAACGTAGTACGATTTGAAAAGCTACCTAGCATTTTCGATGATATTATCTGTAATTATATTTCATTAATTTGTTTGCCTTTCATCTACCCGGTGCTTTGCTAATGTTTAAACATTTTACATTTTAGGAAATCAAAAATGTTGTAGAAAACCATGTGGAAATTTTGCTTGCACTGATCCTTTAAAAGTATGTAACTTCTTATATTCAAAGAGTCTGTAGAAGAATAAAAAGGGAAAGTTAAATGTCATAGGTTAATGTTATAATAATTACATAATTTTTGTTGTCAATATAATGACACTATACACAACTGTCTTACAAGTTGGAGGTTTCGCTATCTTTAAAGCCAGGTTCAAACACGGGTTATGGTTTTTTTTTTTTCTTTTTTTTCTTTTTTTATAAAAATGTTCGTACTAAGTCAAGAATAAACTTCAAAATTTTCCAATCGTTCCGTTGATTGATATGGTCGAGCGTTTGATTTTGCCAGGTTTATTGGACATCTCCAATTTTTTAATTTACCTTCCAGTTCGGTATTTTTGTTTATATTTGTTTAAACAAACAATGAAGTGTAAAAACGGCTGGTAAAGCTCTACACAGACATTTAAGATTAAAATCAGTGCACTCCTTTGTTCCGGAAGGGTCTACTCTATCTCTTCCCACCAACTGTTTCTGTTAAATGCGGTAAAGAATCATAACAGGTAGAGAGGTGACATAATTGTTTGTTATTATAGTGATTAAGATTGTAATATAATGTTGACTGCTGTACCCAAATTTTTTACATTTTTACCTTATGTGTCTGTTTGTTTTGCTCCACATATTGCTGTCAATATTTGAAATATATGCGACTGTCATATAAGTGAGAGGTTTAGCTAGCTATAATACCAGGTTTAATCTACCATTTTCTCAATAAGGAAAAATCTGTACCAAGTAAACAATATGACAGATGTTTTCCATACGTTTGATGTGTTTGAGTGTTTGATTTTGCCATTTGATTAGGGACTTTCCGTTTTGAAGTTTCCTTGTAGTTCAGTGTTTTTGTTATTTTACTTTTTACACATAGTAGCGAATTTGTAAATGTATCGTAAATGACCCTTACACATAACAAAATTTATGAACCATCGATAATGTAAATTATCTATCTCTTATACTTGACTGAATGTAGACTAAGTACTTAGTATCATCCACAAAATAGCCAAATATTTCTGACAGTTTGTAGAAAAGTGATTAAATAAGAAGAATAAAACCATTAGAAGTGAGAATGGAAACGGGGAATGTGTCAAAGAGACATAAACCCGACCAAAGACCGGAAACAGTTAAAGGCCACCAATGGGTCTTCAATGCAGCGAGAAAATCCCGCACCAAGAGGCGGTCTTTAACTGTTCCCTAAGCAATAATGTATACTAAAATCTGATAAAAAAATCTCTTGATTCTTATTTAAATAAGTGCATGAATGTTGGGGATATTCGAATATCACATTTTGAAAAAAAATCAGAAATAAATAAAAGAGTACATAATACGCCTATTTCTAGAATCAGAAATAAACTTCAAGAACTTTTAAAGCGGTTTGTGTTTGTACCGGCCGACAAAGCAGCCAACAATGTGGTGGTGGTATGCCGTAAATACTACACGGACGTTCTTAAGAATGAAATTTTAAATTCATCTACATTCAAGTCCGTACGCTCCACAGAGAGTCATATAGTAAACAAACATATCATAACCACATTACAGCTTAAGGCCTCTTCTGAATATTTGAAGGTCCCTACTATGTATTGGTTACCTAAACTACACAACAAACCAGCAAAATATCGTTTCATCTCGGTCTCTACATGCTCTAGTAAGTGTTTTTCAACTGATCTTTCAGTGCTTTTAACTAGTTCCTTAACTACTATCAAAGAACGTATCATTAACTTTTGTAATAAAATATATGAAAATAGTAGAAATAACTATTTTTGAAGCGTAAAAAAATCTTTGGGTGTTTTAGATAAGTTACGTGCCTCTGATGGTCCTTTTGATTCTGTTTACAGTTTTGACTTTTCAACTCTTTACACTACACTTCCAAACAAACTTATCAAACAAAAGTTTTCCTAATCAATTAAATGGTCGTTTGGTAAATCTGAATGCATATATATTTGATGCAACTCATTTAAAGCCTTCTTCTCTAACGAGAAAGGTAAATATGCTAGATATACTTACTAGAGGTGTGATGAGATGATTGAAGCTGGTAATTTTCTCCTTGATAATATTTATGTACGTTTCGGCAACAAAGTTTATCGACAGGCTGTAGGTATTCCTATGGCCACTAATTGCGCCCCTATAATAGCAGATTTGTTTTTGTACTGTTATGAATCACAGCTTATGACCAAAAACAGTAAAGACCCGTCTCAATTGCATTTAATTGATAAATTCAACAAAACTTACCGTTATCTTGATGAAATGTTGTGTTACATAATCAAGAATTTTCTAAACATACTGCCGAAATTTACCCAAAGGAAGTTACTTTAAATAAATCAAATGTAAACGATAATAACTGTCCTTTCCTAGATTTAGATATTTCAGTTTTAACACGGGAAACTTCACACTAAAGATTACGACAAAGGGGACGATTTTTCGTTCCCTATTGTTTTTTTTCCTTTTTTGGATGGTGATGTTCCTTTGGCACCATCTTACGGTGTTTATATATCACAACTCGTTCGCTATGCCCGTGTCTGTTGTGACGTTTTGAATTTTAATGAACGTAATCTATGAATAACTGGTAAATTATTAAGTCAAGGATTTCGTTACCACAAATTACTTAAAACCTTTACTAAATTCTTCCATAGATATAAAGTAGTATACTGCTGTTCAAAAGTCATAAATCGATTAAGAGAAAACAAATCCGGGTTACAAACTAAACCAAGGGAGACACATCAACTACCTTAACAGAAAATATCTTGCCCCCTCTTAAAAACAAAGAAGAAATTATGATTTATCAGGTAAAAAGGAACATTATTGACATTGTTATTTGTTTTTACATTTACTTATGTATTCAATAAACTAGAGGTAGGGACTATGACGAAGTAGAAACACCATAATGATTACTATAATAAATTGATCTGTTTTTATATCCAAATAGGGTGACCGTCCTGGATGTCCAGTTTGTCTCAATAACCAAGGTAGCACAGAATGTCCTGTGTGTGTTCGTTACCAGCAGTTATGTAACGCAGATACTGAATGTAAACCAGGTCAGTGTATTGTTGTATATAGAACTAAAACACACCTGCGACAACCGTGACTGAATAAAAGAACCTATGCCTTATTTTTAGTCTGGATTGTTAGTATTCGTATTGTCATCTGATAAAGTCATCCTGGTTATAAGGTGCACAGTTTCATCTGCTCTCAAAACATTTCTGTTTGAACCCATCCTGGTTTTCTTATTACAAGCTGAAACTACACGTGACAGTTACTATTGGTATTGGTATCGGATTCGACCCAGAACTTGTTAATTATTGGTAATATTTATTATATGGAAAACAAATGGGCCTGGAATGGTGTAATTTTTAATCAACACCATTGTTCTAAATCAGTTATATATAAAGGTGAATTCTTTGATTCGTCGTTTTAGGTCATGCCGGCTAACACATCGGAACTCGTTATGTCAGTAGAATAGATAGGTCACGGCTAAAGCGTTAAAAATGAAAATATTCAACAGGAAAATCATTAATGTCAGATAACAATAAAACCATTTTAAAAGCCTCTTAGAAAACAAGTTTATAATAAGCCAACCTTTTTAAATAGTTTTATTCTCCATAATGTTCAAATTTAAGATTAAGAGGATGGTTTTCATATACGAAGTACAGTGTTTGCTTTTAATTACAAGCATATATGATAATATGTACTTCTATAATTACCTGGACATGCAAAATGAATATTATTTGGTAAGAAACTCTAAGGCTACAAGAACGTTATTTTCGTCTAACATTTTTTCATAATATTTTGATTGCCTGTTTTTGGAATAATTTACTGTGACCCGTGCCACTGCAACCTTAAACGTTTTGTTTATTATTAATATTTGTCAAGCAAGCTTACATTTAAACGTTCTTAAACATTTAAGTTAGCCCCAAAAACACTGTATCGCTTAATATTATGTTAAAGATATGATATTGAATTTTAAGCTAGCGGACATGCTCCTCTTTCTATGCTAATTATTGATATTTCACCTGTTGGTGTCACGCTATGACAAACGATGGCGTTTTAAGTGGGTACAGAACATGGGAGTTAACTCTTTAAAAATCAGTTGAACTTGAAAAAATCCACAAAAATCACAGTGTATTCAAGAACATCACGTTTACAATATACAACTATGTTTCTCAATTTCCTTAATTTTTAAGATATATTTTCAGGTCAAATGTGTTGCTTCAATCCTTCCTGTGGTACATCGTGCAAAGGCAAAGGTATGTGAAATCTTTTCCGCGGTGAAACTTAAAAAAGAAGCAATAAAAAACAGCGTAACTGTTATGCAGATCTTTCTTTTCATTTTCACAATTCATTTTCTTCATTCTCTATTCCATTGTTCATGCTGTTGTCAATGATATTTTTTACACGCTTTTGAATAATACCACTACAAGTTCATCATAATAAGCTTATTGATTTTGTTGATACCTATATTTTGTCATTGCACAAGTTCTTGTTTTTTTCTGACTGTTAATGATGTTTTTACACTAAATCCATTGGATGTTGGATTTGTACTGATTGATATTTTAATCTTAGATACATGATTTTTTTTATTAGTTGTTATTGGCTTTGAACTAGCTGTCAGCAACTGCGAGTACTCTCAGATCTGAACTAAGTGTCTTTTTTGTTGTTAGGGATGAGGGATAGATAAAAAAAAAAACTGACACGACTTGTCTGTTTTTTGTTTAATGTTTTTCTTTGTGTCGATCTGATGAGTAAGCATTTTCAACTGATTTTTATAGTTTGTTCTTATGTTGTACTGTACTGTACACCACTGTCCCAGGTTAGGGCAGGGTTGAGCGTTTACAAAAATGTTTAACCCAGCCACAGTCTTTATGTGCTTGTCCCAAGTCAGGATCCGTTAGTTCAGTGGTTGTCGTTGGTTCACGTCTTATAATTGTTTTTCGTAAATTGTTTTGTTATAAATTAGTTTTCTCAATTAAATTGTTTCATATCTTTTATGTCGAGGCCTTTTATAGCTGACTACACGGTATGAGTTGTTGTCATTGTTGAAGGCCGTACGGTTGCCTATAATTGCTTACATCCATTTTATTTGATCTTTGGTGGATAGTTGTCTCATTGGCAATCATACCTCATCTTCTTATTTTCATATTGTATGGTAGTCATTCTGTTTCTAATGCAAAACAGAACTTCTAATATCCATTTAAAACCTATTTTTACCTTGAGTAATTTTACTTCACATTTTGTTTGTTTGAATTGTTTTACATTAAAATTTGTCATTTTGAGGGCTATTTCTGCCATCTATATTGCGTGATATCAGATGCACCTATATCTGGAAGATTCCTTTTTGCAGAAAAACGATTATTTATTTGTCTATTTCGGTGTTTCCACTGTCTATATCACTCTGCTCAGTTCTTCATAAAATTGCATGTCACGGCTTTGTGACGTCAAAGACGTTGACCTGTAACCTAATAACATTGACCCGGACATCTCACCGACGTCATAATGAGTGAACCGACGTTGATAAGTTTGACCTTGAAAAAAATAATTAACAGAATGCCTTTTATATTGAAGTTTCAAATGAATTTCACAAGTAGAATTAACTATTAAAACAAATAATTGATAATTTACAACAAAATCAACATTATCTCTAAATTATATGACCATGGGTTAACATGATAAAAGAAAATAATTTTTCATCCTTGTTTTGTTTACGTGTGAAAATACATTCATAACAATTGATGCTGCTTGAACAATGTTAATAAAAACTTGAATTTCTTTTTTAGTATGCCCCGAAATATTATGTCCTTTAATAAAATGTTCATTAGGATTTCAAAAGGACGAAAATGGCTGTGAGATATGTAAATGCAGACAAGGTAAGTAGACACAGTCTTTTGTTAAAACATTAACATAAAAGAGGGTCTCTATGGGGGACCTCAATTTCTGTATTTTTTAATCTTTTCAGCCAGTTTTCTGTATTCTTTATTTGGTTTTGCTCAGTATTCTCTATTCTTATATTTTAACACCCAATTATTCTCTATTCTTTATTTATTTTGTCCTTTTTTTTCTCTATGTTTATATTTTTACATTTATTTTGTACATTTGTCCATTATTCTGTATTCTGTAAACCCCATCCAGACCCTCATATAGAGGCAAATAAGAAAAGATTACAGTCACCCTTTTTGATAAACTTGCAGTATCTTGTACTAATACTTATTTTACTTTTTTTTTTATTTACTCAAGCGATACATCAAATTCAAAAACAATTTTGAAAAGTGACAGTGAAACAAATGTCTTATAGTGGTAAAAAAATGATGTTGGTAAATACTTGTCTCATTAGCAATCATACCAGATCTCCTAATTTGTAATGTCGAATTAGTTGATTATTTACCATTAAAAGAGAGGCGAAAGATACCAAAGGGACATTCATACTCATCAGTCGAAAAAAAACTGACAACGCCATGGCTAAAAAAAAAGAAAAAAGACCAAGAGTCAACCAACAGTACACAAAACACAACATAGATAACTAAAGACTAAGCAACATGATCCCCATCAAAAACTGGGGCTGATCTTAGGTGCTTCGAAAGAGTAAGTAGATCCTGATCCACATTTTTGCACCAGTGCAAAGGTAGTTTAATTCATGTTATTATTATCATCTTGACTGTACGCTTGACAATGTTTTTCTTGATGATATGTATAAATATCGGCAGACATTGCATTTGTTATGGACAAAGGGACATCGATAGTTATTTTTCCTTTTCCAAGAAAAAAATACCTTCCATTACATATGCAATATGCGTATGTCTGATAGATTCGATAATGAAAAAAAAAATAGAACTCATGTCCCCTCGATGAAACGTCTTTATTTAATGCCAATGATGCAACATTCCTTATTTGTTTCTTACTTGTGTTTTTAGATCCTTGTCCGATGTACTCCCCTCCTCCACCATGGCTTTGCACTGATGGTAAAGCAAAAATATTCTATGTAGATGGAGTGAAATGTTATGGCCCTCCTGGTATCATTCCATGCAATAAAGGTATCATTTAATACTTGTTTAACAAGACTTATGGTATGGGCCTTGATCATTGTTGAAGGCCGTACGGTGACCGATAGTTGTTAATTTCTGTGTCATTTTGGTGTCTTGTGTAGAACTATCTCATCGGCAATCATACCACATCTTTTTTTATATATTATATTTTTGTGTGATAATGATAGTAATGATAATGTTACAAAGAAATTTGGAAGTTAACACTAACGCCGCGTGAGTGAAAAATACCTCGCTATGTTCAAAGAACCTTTAGCAAAAACGCGTTCAGGGACAGTTAGTTACCTGTTGCTAGTCAAATTTCCGTCTATGTTCCCCAATAACTCTTCAACAAAAGTAGTCTAAATTTTTCAGCATTCATCAGTGTTGATCGATTTTTTGCAGAAGCAACTTTTTAAATTTATGTTTATATGTTATCGATCTGAGTATGCATGAAATAATGTCATTCACCGGTCAGTACACAACCATCTTTATTTTGAATGACAATGCGCCATTAGTTGTATCCTGTATTATAGATACAACCTGATGGCGGTAAAATATTTTGTTTCATTATTACTCAACTGTTTATCCTTTGTAAGACAATTATACTCCAATAAAGTCAAGTTAAATTTATATAGGAAATAATTCTTTCGTGTCATGCTTTATTTTCGATCTTAAGATAATTTTGTTTCTTTATGATATGTGGTCCAAGGACACAGTTATCGTCCTTTGGTTTTCGTTGTCTACGAATATAGTCCCTAGTGTGAACAGTGTATAACTTGCATTGTTTTTTTATACACTTTCCCAATTTATTTCTTGATATTTTATGCATGAAATATTAAGAAAGGGGATGAAATTACATGTTAAAAAAATTTGGGTGCTGAATCTTTATGTTAAGTAGTGATTTGGTCCAGTTAAAAAAGGTCAAAAATTAGAATGTCTGAAGCTGTCAAACTGAATTTTAGCCCCCTTAACACAGAATTGTCAATATTTTGAGTTAGAGCTGGTAGAAGTTTCTATAATTTTGATATTATTTGTATCAATAGTAGTACACTACACTGTAAAAATCTTTTTGAGATAGAGCAGGTGCGATTTTTTTAATTTGAGTTTATTGTCTAAAAGAAATGCACTACGAAATAACTGTGTTCTCGGGCCTAAGAGATGAATTCCGTAAATGTAGATTCTGTACTTTGGCAACTTTCCTGAATGGTTTGCTGGTTTCAATTTGTCAAACTCAATAAAAGTAAAGGATTTACATCTTTGTTTGACAGAAATTCTGTTAAAATGTCCCATTTTGGCATTATACGGCTAAAATAAGCATTTTAAAGCAGTTTCCATTTTATGCCTAAGAGCCATGCTGACTTTCTATCTGACAGCTTTTTATGTTCCTGATATTTGTGTTTCTATGCTTAAATCAAATTTAATTAACCATTTGTGAACTCGGAATCTATAGAAAAGTAGATTATCACAGAAAAAATGTGCAGAATATTTGTATTTATGTCCCTGGTTAAACGGCCTGTTTGATGTATGTGAAATGTGAAGAGCTTTGTACATAAAATCTGTAGTCCATCACAAATATTTCACTAAATCTGTAAAAAAACACTTTACAATGATCAGTACACCCTATTCATTTCATATGCTACCATAATTTTCTTCTCTAGGATAGTAAGTGGTTCAAATATATGCCAAATGAGACTAAAACTACATGCAAGTTTTCCATTGAAAAGTGAAAAACTGGTCATCAGACCATACTGTCTGCCAAAAAAAGTTGAATTCAAGAGTCCTTTTGCAATTAGACTTCTTGTATCATGACATCTTAGCATAGAAATGAGCAAAAAGTAACAAATTTCAATTTCTTATAGCCTCTGTGTGCATTTTTATATGTAAATATGGGCTACAGCCTAAATCGACTCTAAATAATTCTCAGTCTTACATGGCCTAAGACCATTTTATACTCATGTGGTATGCTTTTTGTAACTTTTCTTTACATTTAAAGTACATTTAATATATATGGAAGAATAATGTATGGTTAAAAAACTTCAAAAACTTCAAATTGGTTGAAAAAAATGCATGTTTATGTAAGGCTTCCCTTAATTCGAAAATCTCTATCTTCAGGCACAGGCTCATATAAATTTGACTTTTGAATAACTGTAATAAATCTGATAAATCAAATGAGTGTTCCGTTGCTTTTAATACTTATTATATTAAATTCAAGAGTATTTAAAAAGCTAATTTTTGCAATATTTAAATTTTTTAGGCCAAAATCTTGACAGTTGAAAATAATTGATTTGAACGTCAAAAAAAAAACCCACCAAATTTCAATATTAAAATGGCCCTAGTTTCTATAATATATATCCTATGGCCATGAAACTTGGCCAACTATCTTATAATTGCCTAAGCTTAGGTCATGCAAAGTTTTATTTAAATTGGTCAAGTCTTTCTATCCTATTAGGTCCAAGGACACAGTTATCGTCCTTTGGTTTTCGTTGTCTACGAATATAGTCCCTAGTGTGAACAGTGTATAACTTACATTTTTTTTTTATACACTTTCCCAATTTATTTCTTGATATTTTATGCATGAAATATTAAGAAAGGGGATGAAATTACATGTTAAAAAAATTTGGGTGCTGAATCTTTATGTTAAGTAGTGATTTGGTCCAGTTAAAAAAGGTCAAAAATTAGAATGTCTGAAGCTGTCAAACTGAATTTTAGCCCCCCTTAACACAGAATTGTCAATATTTTGAGTTAGAGCTGGTAGAAGTTTCTATAATTTTGATATTATTTGTATCAATAGTAGTACACTACACTGTAAAAATCTTTTTGAGATAGAGCAGGTGCGATTTTTTTAATTTGAGTTTATTGTCTAAAAGAAATGCACTACGAAATAACTGTGTTCTCGGGCCATGTATCGTTGGAAGATCTCACAAGTATTTATTTCTTTAGATTATCACTACCCAAAACAACCTTGAACTTGTAAAGTTTATGATATGTTCTATCTTGGAAGATTTTACAATGATTTAGATTTTTTTAGATTGTCACTAACCAAAACAACCTTGAACTTGGAAAGATTATGATATGATCCATCTTGAAAAAAAATTACAATTATCTATATTTTTTAGATTGTCGCTTACCCAAACAACCCGGACCATGTAAAGGCAGTTTCCCAAGATATTTCTTCAATCTCAAAACAATGAAATGTGAAAAGTTTATATATGGTGGATGCCAAGGAAACGCCAACAATTTTGAATTACTAACTGAATGCCAAGATAAATGTATAGATAAACCAAGTAAGTACATGCGATCTTTATTATGGAGCAGGATCTGTTTTCCCTTCTAGAGCTACTGAGATCACACCAAGTTTTTGAAGGGGTTTATGTTGCTCAGTCTTTAGTTTTATATGTGATGTGAGTATGATTTCTAATGAGACAACTCTCCATCCAAGTCACAATTTGTAAAAGTAAACCATTATAGGTCAAAGTACGGTCTTCAACACGGAGCCTTGGCTCACACCGAACAGCAAGCTATAAAGGACTGCCTTATTAGTTATCTAGATTACTTTTGTAATTTCTAAAATATGTTTAATTCGAACAGAGAAAATGAAAGCTACGATGATATATATAATCAAATATAATGCTAATTTATATGTGCGTATTCAGCTATACAGATCACATTATCTGTTCCATGATTGATGATTTATTGATAGACGTTTAACGCCACTTTCAACACTGTTATGCCAAATCGTGGAGGTCAGTATTTATTGGTGGAGGAAACCAGAGTGCATAGGGTGAACCACCAACAGTTTGTAGGAAAACAATCATAGTCAATTAAGTTGGGAGTCAAGTGCACCTGCCCTATGCGGGATTCGAACTCACAACCTCTGTTGTGACAGGATAGTGATACAGTAGTTTAATTACCTAGATCTTTCGGCAACTGAGCCCCCTTATCTGTTTCGTGTGAAAAAATCACGGAACTTAAATGGTTTTCTGCGTAAGAGCGTAAAATGTATTTTTTCAATTCGTTTGTTTGTTCATAACCTGACAATATGTTTAAAGGTTATTCACTATTTCCCTTTTTTTTTCGCAAATAAATCGTTCTGGTGTTTATAATTTTGTTCGAAAACACAAAAAAAAACTGTAGATGTGGCTATTATAAAAAAAATGTAAAAGATAGATTCTGTAACAATCATCTTCTACGACATGATTTCAAACTTTTATCACTAACATTAAATCTCATTTCAGGACCGAAGTGTCCACCATTATGTGAAATATTCTGTCCATTTGGTAACGTGATAGATAAGAACAACTGTCCAATTTGTAAATGCAAAACAGGTAAATAAACTCATCACAGATACCAGGATTGAAATATTGTATTTGCGCCAGACGCGTGTTTCGTCTATAAAAGACTCATCAGTGACGCTCGAATCAAAAAAAATTAAAAAGGCCAAATAAAGTACGAATTTGAAGAGCAGTGAGGACCAAAAATTCCTAAAAGTTTTGCCAAATACAGCTAAGGTAATCTATTCCTGAGGTAGAAAAGCCTTAGTATTTCAAACATTCAAAGTTTTGTAAACGCGAATTAAACAAAATAGCATAAAATTGTTTAAAACGATCTGTAAATATTCTTTTGTGTATTCATTCATAGTGATCAATAAAAGAGATAAAAGTTGATTTACCAGACGTTAATGAAGCAATGTTCAATACCAGAAGAAGTTTTAAAAAGCCCAAAAGGAATTTGTAGACTGTTAAACGACGAATGACATCTTTTCTGACTGATGCTTGTAGTTATTGCTCTTTAATGATTATGGTTCCCTTTTTTGCCTTTTTTTAACAGTGTCTTCTGATATAGTCAATGACGGTATCAAAGAGGGACGAAAGATACCAGAGGGACAGTCAAACTCATAGATCGAAAACAAACTGACAACGCCATTAATACAACTTTTTGCTGGTTTTGATTTTTCTGACAGTTTTAGTTCTCTCGTGTTTCAATATATTTTTTATCCGACAGAAAAAAGGTACTGTACTGTATATTTTTTTTTCAGGATGTACGGATATTGCAAGTCCTTTACCGTCAGTCAGCTGTGGTTTAGGCAAGCCAAGATGTCCCTCTAAATACCAGTGTAAAACAGCTCAAAATGGTGTAGGAGTGTGTTGTCCGTATGGTATGTTATCTCTAAGTTAGTAATGTCTTCTGGTTGTGCTTACTGTATACTAGTATAGTAATTTATTTCTTAAATTTGGTTACAATTTTTATATTAATTTTACAGTATTGTGTTTAGAAGAACTAAATGACCATCATGATTATTATGTGAATTTTGCAAAATAACAATGCTTGCCACTTCTGCATATAGTTGTTTGCATTCATTGTTGAATTTGAAATTATAACAAAAATCTGAATGTTCACAAATTATAGACATGTTAGAAAAGACAAATTGCATAGGACAAAAACCGTCATGATGTTGTTCAAAATGCTTACCTCAAGCTTATACAAAAAAAGTGAAAATACAGAAAGAAATAGAATAAGTCATCTAAGGCAATGGCATGTCCAAAAGAATAAAAGAAGCATAACTTAAAAAACGATAACACAAATTGTAATGGGTATATTGAGCAACACGAACCTCATTAGAACTCTGGATCAACTCAAATGCTTCATCCTATGAACCGCCCATGCTCATTTAGTGATGCTCTAACTTACAATATCTGCCATTAGACAGCAAGCTATCAACGGCCCCAAAATGACTAGTGTAAAACAATTCAAATTGGAAAACCAACGGTCTAATCTATATAAAAAACGAGAAACGAGAAACACTTTAGCAACACATCAACAAACGATAACCCCTGAACAACAGGTTCCTGACTTAGGACAGGTGCAAACAAATGCAGCGGGTTTAAACGTTTTGACAGGCGCCAACCTTCACCCTCACCTGAAATAGTAGTGTAATATTACAACATAGAAAGACACACTATAAAATATCAATTAAAATGGCTTAACTCAATCAAAAAGACATATTAACAAAAACAAGTAAACATACACTGAACGAATAAATTTGATCTATGACACAATGCCAAAAAGACAACTATAACATTGGACAAAATGAATACTTTAAGATATTTCTAAAAATGTGCACATATATTTTTCAGAATGTCCTCTTTACAAGTGCAAATCATGTCCATACGGTTATGTGATTGACGCAAATGGCTGTCAAACATGTACATGTAGTAAGTTAAATATATGAAAACAATGCAGGATTTTGTAAATATTAGATAAATAATGAAAACAACACGCTTTAAATGTAATGAGTCCAAGGCGCTTTTTTTTATTTACCTTTATCAGGAACCTTAAAAGCCGAAAAATGTGAAAGCCAAAAATGTATAAGAACCGAACCAGTTGAAGAGCTATATGACAAAAAGGACCTTTAAAATAGCCTAAATCATCTAAGATCAACTTTGCCTGAGGGAGTTGAAACCTTAGTTTCTTTATAATTTCAAAATTTATAAACGGACAATTTTAGAAAGGTTTTTATAAATTTTGTCAACACCGTAGTACTGACTACTGAGCTGATGATACCCTCGGGAACTGATAGTTCACTAGCAGAGGTAAAAAGTGTTGAAGTTTACGTACAGCATTGTATATACAAATTTAACAAGTAAAGACATAAAAGGAACATACTCAACAAAACAATATTTTCTAATAAAATAAAAAATAAAATCATTTATGTTATACTTGGTGAGACATCAATTATATATATACATATATGTCTGGTTGACTTACGTTCAACATTCAATAATACCTACTTTAATTGAATAACATAATTACACATTTGACTTTGTATTTTTTTAGGCGCGGTGCAATCACATATAGAATTTCATTGTTGTTCCCACGGTCTTGTTTAATGAACGTCCTCCATTACGTTTTGTAAGGAAAGTTTTACGTTTTAAACAGATGCAGGATGTTCCTACAATAGTTGATAATATGTAGGAATTCGTAGTTCTGGTATATCATTGAGTAATTGATTGATTGATGTTTGTTTTACGCCGAAATCAGCGCAAAAGGTTTTTATCGCCGCATGAAAATTATGATGGATCATGAAATCTTTACGAAAAAAGATTCTGTGGTGTACCTTTTTTGATAATTTTTTTTCTTTACGTATCACTGATTTTACTGTACAACTTATTATCAATGCACTAATGGTATACTTTTATTCCACATTAAAGTCGCAAATGTTTTCGGTTTTTAGGGTGAAAGAACTTCCATTATTCAATATTAGTTGATTGTAATTTTAATGTACAGTGGCGAATATTTCGTAGAAACAAGATTTTGGACGAATGAGTTTGTACAAGAAATGTGTTCTCACACAGGCAAAAGATGTTATGTAAGATAGAAGCAGAAACAGTTGCTGCAACAGTTTTATAATGTGCAAAGTACATTCCACACGAAAATTTGATTGGAAATCCGCATTCCTGCTAGAAATGTCTGCGTACATGTATTTGTAAATCATTAGATCGCTTTTATTGACATTTTGACCGAGTTCGTTTCTGATTTTCATTGGTATTCGCGATGCTCAATCTTTTGTTTCGTTTCTGTTCCTTTTTTTAGACGAGATTTTTTATTTGTATTTTCAACTCGATTCTTCGGACATCATCCGTACATGTTTCGATTGCCACCTACGTTCCTTCTTATTCTCCTTATCGTTCAGGAAAATCCGAATGTAATGGTATATTTCTATTTTATTAAGTATTTATATTCTTTCTTAGTTTCTTCTCAAAAAATTGATTAACATACTAGAAAAGGATTATTAAATAAAATGTTATAAATGTTAATACATTTACGGTTTTTACAGAACCTAGATGTGGACCTGTTTGTGCTATATTCTGTCCCTTTGGAAATGTTCTTGATGAAAACAACTGTCCAACTTGTAGATGCAAAACAGGTAATAATGGTCTGTTGTATAGATTTAAAATGTGAGATGATATACAAAAAGAAATTAGCCTGATTATATATTCGTTATTACATCAAAAAATAACTGGGTACTTTTCGTTCCATGCGTTCTCATTTGTTGATTGAACTTTGTCCTAACAGTTTGGTGTTTATCTTTTGGTCTTTTTCTTTTTTAAGCATGGCGTAGTCGACTTACGAGATTGAATGTCCCTTGGTATCTTTCGTCTGTCTTTCACATTTTGTTTTCTATTTTAGGATGTAAGGGTAATGTTAGTCCATTAGGATCAATCAGCTGTGGTTCAGGTCAACAAAGATGTCCCGCTCGATATCAATGCAACACACCCTCAGCAGGCGGCAGTGGAGTATGCTGTCCTTATGGTATGTTAAAAAGCGTCCTAATTCGCCGTCGTAGAATCTAATGTATTATGGGTAATATTTTCAAAAACGTACACAAAAATGTTTTGATTGGTTAAAAACGTCATATTTCTTTAGATTCTGAAAAGGTCAATTACTGTAAACCAGTTGTAACATTCACCAAATTGCATATATAAATGGCGTTACACACATAAAAAGAGATTTATGATACATGTTGTTCGAAATATGATATGTGGGTTGTGGTATGATTGCAAAAAGCATGAGACAACTATAAATGAGGGACCAAAATAACATAAATTAAATCAACTATAGATCGCCGTACGGCCTTCAACAATAAGTAAAACCCATACAGCATAACAAGCTGAAAAAGGCACCGAAATAAAAGCATAAAACAAAAAACAAAAAAACAAATATGATATACAGAAACAAACGACAATCACTGATTTACATGGGACAGACACATTAATAGATTAAACTGTGTTAGTAAAATAAAATGTTAAAGTGTCAAATGTCTAGTTTATAAACACTTACACGAGGTTTCAACTCCTTCAGGTCGTAGTCAGAGCGTACCTGATTACGGTGATTCAAAAGACAGGTCTTCTACGAACACAACAATGATATTGTTAGATAAAGCTTCTGTTCATTTGTTAATCATATACACTACAAACCAGTAAAAGTCTGAAATGGCCTATATTTGTACTCGACTGAACTGATTTTTACTCGACCAGTCTGAATTGGTCTGAAATTTACTTGATATTACTCGACTGTAGTCTGAACGATACTAAACAGTCTGAACTTGTACTCGACCTTTACTCGACCAGTACTTAACCATTTTATACGAGTCTGAACCATACTCGACATAGTCTTAACCATTCTCGACCAAGTCTGAACCATGCTCGACCTAGTCTGAACCATACTCGACCTAGTCTGAACCATACTCGACCAAGTCTTAACCAACCTAAACCTATTTTTTGTATCTATCTATATTATTTTTTCATTAATTTAGGAACTGTTATTCATATATATATATATATATATAAAATGTATATCACATTTAAAATTAAAATAAAACAAGGTGATCAAATTTCTGGTTGGATTAAAAAAATATCATGTAATAAATTAAGTTCGTTAAATGAATTTTCATATACATGATATCATGTTCACATTGATTTATGCATCAAAAATACTATAACTTTCAACCATTATTCAAATATCTTAAATGTTATTCAATTTTTTTTTTATCAAAATATATATAAAATAGTATATAAAGCAACTTAATAAATGTTAGAATTGACACCTTTGTTTTGTAAAATCAAAAATTTAATATAATAATAATAATAATAAAACTTTCATCTTTTTATCCTTGATAACCTTTTAAAAAAGGAAATGTATTCCAAAGTTGCAGTAGAAATTTATTTTAATTAAATTTAAATACGTTTTGTCAAAATTAAAGACATGGCATACAAGAAACAGTTTAATAAGGTTTAATGGTTTAATTACCTCAGTACAGGTGTTTTACAGGTAAAAAGAAAACCATATTTTTCTTAAACTCGTGTATTATTTATCTAGTGAATTCAAAGGCCTTGTTATTTAAGTTTTACAGGATGTTGTAATTTTCAATGGATGTTATTTAAAATTTATTACTCTCTGAACAGGTGTGATCTTTTTAATCAGTGTGCGTCAAGCAGGATGTATTACTTTATAGTTTACCCCTAATCAGAAGAAAAATTTTATTCATTTCTTGAATTTTTTATCCCTTTTAAAATATATATATATCCCAAATTATGAATAGGAATAGATATATTTCTGATATAAGGTTAAACAATGTCAGTGATTTTGTTGGCTGTTGTTACCTCATTTAAAAGATAGTTATATAACTATTGTATATAACCATGAAACCTAAGTACAGAAAGTCACTGGACAGAAAGTCACAAATTTGATAGGACAAAAAGTCACAAATAATTTGTATACAATTGATTGAATATTTATGAGAAAGATCTTGAAATGTTTACTTTTTATGACACATATTCATTTTACAGTTTAGGAAATTGTTCATAAGACTTAATTTGATAAATAAAGATTTATAAAATTTTAATCATGCAAAGGATATATTTCTTGGCACCATGAAGCCATTTAAGTACCAAGACATTGTAACATTTTGTTTTCTTAACAATTATTTGATCATTATTGATATTGTTTCAAGAAAAATACAAAAATGTTTTTTTAAAAATAAGTGTTCTATTGTTCAAAGAAAAATAACCTCAAAACTGAATTGTGACTTTTTGTCCTCTGACTTTCTGTCCTACATTCGTTTTTATTTAGGAATTTAGGAAAATCAAGTTTTGTTTAAAAAAAAAACACATGCCAAACAAAAAACACCTTATTTTTAATAAGGTTTTATTACCCTCAGTATAGGTGTGGTTTTCAGGTAAAACAAGTCTTTTATTTAACAAGACTCAGACTTTTAAATTAGATAATTTAACTATCTCGATTTGCCAAATCTAAGAGAATACCTAATGTATTATTAAAGAATGTAAAAAATGTTTTTATATATATCTTTATTTAATTGTGGCTGTTGTCATGTAAGTTAAAGAGAAAGTTATTTAAACAATCAAAATTATAAAGCAGAGGTTATTTGGTAAAGTATGGTTCAGACTGGTCGAGTATTGTTCAGACCTTTGGTCGAGTATGGTTCAGACTGAAAAAATAGGTCGAGAGCTGGTCGAGTACTGGTCCAGACTGGGTTAAGACTGTTTCAGACTGGTCGAGTAATAGTTTAGACTATTTTCAATAGCAAAGATAAGGGTCAAGTACAAATCAGTACAGTCGAGTATGGTTAAGACTGGGTCGAGTAATATTAAGTAAAATTCAGACCAATTCAGACTGGTCGAGTAAAAATCAGTACAGTCGAGTACAGATATAGGCCATTTCAGACTTTTACTGGTTTGTAGTGATATATTTGATCAATTGTATAGAACGATTCTGTTCCATACGTTTTACATCCATTACAGTCTATGATAAACAGCATTAAAAATATTGTCCAATACTGGGTACAAAAACAATATAAACGATAAGCCAATTTCAGTGCCAACAGTGAAGGTTGGTTTGAAATTGAATACCGTGATATGACGTGAAGTAATACTGATACACGATAAAACATGAAATTTAAAAACAAAAAGGAAAAGATAACAAAAATCATTAAAATCATATGATGGACGAAATTTTTTTAACGTATATGATCTGTGCAAGGTCGTACTCGAAAACAAACAGTTTGTTATAAATATAAAAATAAGGAGATGACGTATGACTGAAAATAAGACAACTATCCACCAAAGTTCAAATAAAGAGGATGTAAGCAAAAATAGGCAACCGTACGGCCTTCAACAATGAGAAAAAACCCATACCGTATGATCGACTATAAAAAGCCCCGACATGAAAGATATGAAACAATTCAATGGAAGCGTATCTGATTATTTTTTATTCCAGCAAACTCTAAAACTGGACGATATTTAGAACATAATTTTCTGTATATTTGTTACTATCATATGAATCTATATCTAGAATGTGTGTAATTTATCTATTTTTTGTTTCTCAGTATGTCCGCAAATAAAATGCAGCAGACCATGTCCATACGGTTATAAGTCTGACGTCAATGTGTGTCAGACATGCCAATGTCTACCTGGTGAGTAAGGTCTAAAAAAGGTGAGCTTTATGAAATGTCTAGAAAGGGGTGTTGGGGAGATAAACCAAATTGACAAGTAGTTTATTCCATATTTCCAGCTATAGACTCTTTTCTCGCAGACATCCGAACAGAATGGTTGATAAAAATGGTCTCACACTGGGCTATTGGCATGGCATTTACATATAGTTGAATGTTAGTATTGTCTATTTGTAATGCATCACATTTCCTTTAAAACATTCTGAATCTGATAGAAATGATGGATTGATTGATTGGCGTTACACCACTTCAGCACTTTTGTGCTATTTCGTGGCAGTATTTTTATTTGTTGAGGAAGCCGGAGTGCCCGGAGGAAACCACCGACCTTCGGTACGAAAACTGAAAATTCTTGTCAATAAAGAGTCGAGCGCACTTGTCACTTGAGGGATTCGAACTCACAACATCTGTGTTGACAGGCTAGTGATACTTTAGTTGACTAATTATACTACTTGGCTACCAAGGCCCCTGAAATCAAAATAATAATTCTGCAACAGTTGACTTTATGTGGGACTTCAAATTAATAACCATTTAAATAAAGAGTTAAAACGTTAATTGTATACACATTGTACGATAAAATTGGTCCCTTTCTTTGAAGTTTCACTCAAAATTGTTAAACTTATGCCAATGTTACCAAAACCAGGTTTAATCCACCATTTTGTACATTAGGAAATGCTTGTATCAAGTCAGGAATATGACAGTTGTTTTCCATTCGTTTGATGTGTTTGTGCTTTTGATTTTGCAATTAGATAAGGTACTTTCGGTTTTGAATTTTCCTTGGAGTTCGGTATTTTTTTTATTTTACTTTTTCACAAATAGCGTTGTTGTTAGTCTGTTATGCGTTGGAGCACTCTAACCTTTGACTCTGTTTCTACATATATTTTTTCTCGAATTAATTCATGTCAGTGAACCTTTACAACCGCCCAATTTCAAATTAATAGTATTGAATAATACGTCGCAATTCAAACAGACCTGACTGTGTTTTTTATGCGATGGAAAGAAGGGATGTTGCAATCCTCATTTGGAATAACGTAATAGGTCTTTGGAAACAATTTGTTCTAGTAAATTAATAACACATTTTTGTTTACATTTCTGTTTAAAGAAAGGATAAGTATATATTAACAAAAGAATATCAATAAATTCCTCTAATGAAACCGGAAGCATAAAATGGAAATTAGTTTTCCTAAAAAAAACCCACATGACTTCTATCGTATTATATTTTATTGTAAAATATATATCAACTCAAAATTCGTAATTATTGCACATATATATTCATATAGCATGTGAAAAGGGGACGCCTCAAGGGACTTGCAGATTTGGACCATTGGACAGTAAACCGTGTCCATCAGGAACCTACTGTAAAAACTCAGTCTGCTGTAAAATCCGTAAGTAACTAAATCATAAACAAGATTTTCATAGATTTAAAAGTCAGAAGATGTGGTATGTTTGCCAATGCGACAACTTTCCACCAGATACCAAATGACATAGAAGTTAACAGATATAGGTCACCATACGACATTCAACAATGAGAAAAACCCATACCGCATAGTAAGCTGTAAAAGGCCCCGAAATGACAAATGTAAAACAGTTCAAACGAGAAAACTAACGGCCTGATGTACAAAACAATCAACGAAAAACAAAAAAGATATACAGCAATAAACGATAACAACTGAATTACAGGCTCCTGATTTGGGACAGGCACATGAATACATTAATGTCCTAGAAAGCATTATACAATACGATTAAAGATACCAATTACGCTCCAACCGAAGACCGGTTTCTTTTTATAAGTTTTCATCCAGAGCTCCCAGCTCAAAATGATAAAATAAGATGTTTAACATTAAACTAGAGGAGAAGTTGCCAAAAGAAACTTATAATATATTTTTACGCCAGACACGCGGTCTACAGAAGACACTTTAGTGTTTGTACACTCTTGTTCTCAAGACGTGAGTGGTCAATTGTCTATGGTCGTTTTTGTTTTTTTTTTGGTGTTTATGACACTTTCAGCGACCTTGGCTCAATCATTTCGACCATGTTTTACTGGCGGTGGAGGTCAGATGACCCAGACAAAGAACCACCGACGGTCAATCAATGTCAAATAATCGCCACGACAAGTGTTCGAACTCACATCGTTAGTGTTGAAAGGCTAGTCATGATCACTGTAAAGGAACTTCCTAGAACACTCGACCACCAAAGCCACTCTAATTTGCTATTGATTGGTCAATGTTTCAAGCCAAATGATGATGACATTTATAGCACTTATGCAGTGAAATACAACATAAGAACTATTCACATTTTTCAATAGAGCACAATATACTAACAGATTTCCCGGTGTCCTAGTACTCCTTTTGGATAAGGGTTTGAATTTTCTATGTAAATATTGTTGTAAATACGTTCGTGACACATCTACATTAATCAAAATAGGGAGTATACTCGGATTCCACTGTACCCTTGCAACTCTCGAGGGGTGCTCCGAATAACAGAAGAATCTACAAATACATACATGAATACATACTAATCATGATTATAAAAGATATTTTTATATTTTGTATATTTATAGCTTGTAAATTTGGTGATCCTCATCCAACACTTTCCTGTGGAATGGTTATCGGCTCTAACAAGTGTCCAGCTGGATATAGCTGTCTAGGGGGACCAGCTGATGAATACTTTGCTTGTTGTCCTGACGGTAATCACAATTTATTTTTGAACATTTCAGTAATTTTTACACGAGCTGGTTTTATTACATGACGAGCAGATGTAGATATTCGGCTTTTGGCGTTCCTGATAAAGGTAAATCCTGAAAGAGCGTCGGACGCATGAAATTTATGACGCGTTGTTTTCATTTTGTATCCGGAATAGATAACCTTAACCGTATTTGGCAAGAACTTTGATCATTTTTTACCCTCAATTGGTGTTTAATGCCATTTCAGCACTATTGTGCTATATTGTGGCTGTCAGTTTTTATGTAGGAAGCCTGACCGCACTCAGAGAACTACCGAAGGAAAGCGGACAATCCTAGTCAATTATGATTGGAGTCGAGGGCATCTGTCATGTTCGAGATTCGAACTCACAGCTGCGGAGTTGACAGGCTAGTGATACAGTAGTTTTACTACTAAAACCACTTGGCGACTGAGGCACTTGGAAACGTTAGACATTTTCTTCTTGTTTCCGATACTTTTAATCGCGCGTAGGGGAATGTTAAGTACTACAACGCGTGCATTTTTGTTGTATTTATGTCTTATCAATGCTTTTTACTTTGTAGAAAATAAGCCAACACCAGACAAATGCCCGAGAGACCGATACCCAAACTCAAGGTGTTATGTCCGACGAAGCTGTAGAAACGATTCATCTTGTCTTGGGAAGAAGAAATGTTGCAAACAAGGATGTCAATATAAATGTGTAAATCCTGTTTACTAATCAGTTCTACGGAAATAAACACTATATAATGGTGTTGTAAATTAATTATGTTAAGTTGAATAAAGTAAAACTTTTTTATCCGTTAGCGTTCTTATAAGTTTTTGCTAGTACTATGGAGAGAAGTACATACATGAGACACAAAAACGCAAAATAATGAAGTAAACAATTGTGAAATAGTGTGTCATAGTCTCTTTAACATTTGTATGCCCCCGCCTTCTGCTGAAATTGGTTTCCGTCCTCTAAAAAAAAAGATAGTGTCTATTTGAAAAGCTCACTTTAGCTTTTGTTAATGAAAGTTATTGAGCATCGACTTTGAATAAAACTTTGAATCTTGAATCTCGAAAGATACCAAAGGGACATTCAAACTCATTCGTTTTAATTAAACTGACACCGCTATGGCAAAAATATAAAGAAAAAGCCCAGAAGATAATCAACAGTATACAAAACACAACATAAAAAAACTAAAGCCTGAGCCGCACGAACCCCACCAACTTTAGTTTGCCTCAACCAAATTATATGAAATTTATACACAATGCTTATTATTTCCAAACACGGATCAGATCAGTTTCGACTTTCTGTGGCGTCACTTTTATCGTTTTAGAGTTATGTTCCTTATAAATGGAAAATTGCTGAATTTGCAGTTTCCGCACTATAGTTTTACATAGCATCAACTAAATTGTATGAAACCTATATACAATATTCAATGCCACAAAACACATATCAAGTTCGTATTTCTGGCATCACTTTTACGTTCTCGAGTTATATCCCTTTATAAATGGGAAAATTGCCGAATATGCTGTATATTAACAAGTGGGGGAATGTGTGTCCCATAGAAATATTCTTTTTCTATTTCAAACATGATGTTGTACAGATGAATAGATTAAGCGAAAACAAATCCGGGTTACAAACTAAACTGAGGGAAACACATCAACTGTAAGGGGACATCAACGGAACAACAGAAACAATGAACTGCAACAAAAACAAATGCCAACATACATAGAAACGGACTATTGATAACAAATGCCATTTTCCTGACTTGGTATAGGACATTTTAAGAAAATATGGTGGGTTGAACCTGGTTTTATGGCTAGCCAAACATAAACCGTTTTTGCAAATTTTGAGCATTTTCCCACATGACTAAAACATGGAATACGAAAAAAGTACTATTATTATCAACATTACATTCGCTCAAGTTTGAAACATGATAACATGAGACTTTATTTGTATAACGAAATAAGAAAATGTGGTATGAGTGCAATGAGACAACTCTCCATCCAAGTCACAATGCGTAAAAGGTAAACAATTATAGGGTAAGCTCCAATAAAGCAAAACTTTGTTTGTATACCATACAGTGAACGGGAAAATGTTTGCCATTCGGGACACATGTTACTACATAAAGACACAACTATATCAGGTATGTTCTGACTGGCAAGAGATTTGTAAACAATGAACATTGTACATTTTCGAACAAGGTCAAAGTAAATATTAATAATAAAAATAAATACAGTAGTCCCTCAAAATGTAAACTCACCAGTGTATGAACCAAATGAAAATTATTAACTTAATGGTGTACAAGAAGAAAGGAAACACTTGTACAATATAAAAATAAGAAGATGTGGTTTGATTGCCAATGAGACACATCTCTACACCAGAGACCAATTGAAGTAGAAGTTGAGCAACTATAGGTCACCGTACGGCTTTCAACAACGATCACAGATCCATATTGCGCAAGCTATACAACTGAAGGCTCCGAAATGACAAAAGTAAAACAATTCAAACTAAAAAACTAAAGGCCTGGTTTATGTACAAATCAACGAAAAAACAAATATGATTTACAGCAAACAACAACTACTCAATAACAAGCTCTTGACTTAAACAGGTACATACAGAATGTGGCGGAGTAAAACATCCCCTAACCTTGGACAGCAAATCATCTAACAAAAACACAAAAGCCACATAGAACTGATCTGAGAGTACTCACAGTTTAACATACAACCCAGTGTGAAAGACATTTAAACCAATGGTATGGACATAATTAAAATGATCTGTTTTCAAAACTTTGAATTTTCCGAAATACTATGGATTTTCTACCCCCGGAATAGGTTACTTTAGTTGTATTGGCAAAACCTTTCGGAATGTTAGGTCCTCAAATGCTCTTAAATTCTTAAGCTTCGAACGTTTGATTAAAATAAAACGTTGGAAAGCGAGGATAAATGGTTCCCTCAGGACATTCTGTTGAAAATATATCTGTCTACTAAAATTTGTCCCTTTATAAGACTGCATATTGTATTTACATTGGCCATTCTATTTCATAAGGCTTTGACGAATTAATTATGAACTTTGTGTGCGCTTGTAGATTGGTTTCGAGGGAATGATGTGTTAGCGGGGCAAAATGAGTGCGACCTTTGAATTACAGTATTTACCTAAGTATGACCCGTCTATAGGCTATCGCTGTGTTAAACTTACAAAACTAGTTAAGGATGTTCGCTGCCGAAATTAAAGATGACATTTGCATAAGTTTCAGTAGTATGATACTTATGACAAAGAAAGAACAGACTCGTGTCTTTGTTGCAGAAACACGTATTTGATACAGATTACATTTAGGAATGAAAGTCTATATTTGAATTATCAAGAAGTTCCAAAATAAGAAGTGGTCTGGAACCGACAGCATCGAAACAGATCCAGTAGTACTTGGGAAATCATCTTAGCTAATTTTGAAAATATTTCCCGTGGAATTCCCTGAATCCTGGTTTGTTGTAAAGCGTTTAGTTTGCGCGAACTATGGATGCTTGCGAAACACTGGATGACCGGAAATTCGACGTGACCTGTTCTATAAACTGTAGTATAACTAATGAAATTTGAGTTGTAAGTTGATAGAAATTGGGGGATAAAAAAAATAATTTAAAAAGACTGACCTGTGATAAAAAAAATTGCAATGATTGCCAGTGTAGAGGTATTGCTGCGTAGCTGAGATTATTCCGTCACATGCGCAATGCAGGCTGGCTGAAATGGGGTGACGGAGGGTATATTTCTGTTTAGACAAGACAAACTGAACGACAACAAGAAGAATGTGCGTTGTCTTTCAAAATAATTTTCCAAAGTTATTATTTTTACGGTGTTCTTTGTTTCTGTTGTTCCGTTGTTTTCATCTTATAGCTGATGTGTTTCCTTCTGTTTTAGTTTGTTATACGGATCTGTTTTCGCTTAATCGAATTATGACTATTGAATAGCGGTATACTACTATTGCCTTTATTTATGATCTGACCGCTTAGCTTTCAATTCCTAGTCACAGAAACGAAAACAAACACCCGAACGTCGATCATTAAGAGTAAACATCATCAAACGAGCAAAAAAATACAGTTATCGAAACAATGATCAACCAAATGTATATGTTCTACAAATAATTCAAATTATAAGAGTTTTATCAAAACCAAAAATGGCAAACAAACTTTTGATGCCAAAATTTTTAAACGTACAACAAAACAAATGTCGGTCAAAGATTTGAAAACCTTAAAAATGACACACATTACGCACAGATAAATTTGCTCTTTTCGCTAGCTCTTCGTTGTCAATTAAAATATATATATATGTCCTTGGTAGGAGAAACAATTAACCAAAAGGATCTTTAAGTATAGGGCCAATTACGGAATTGGCAAATAGGCTATTCTCAAGAATTTAAACAAGTTGTGTTCATATTTTTACACATACTAGGTATAACCTCATCATAGATACCAGGCTTCAATTTGTGTATACGTCAGACGCGCATTTCACCTACAAAAGCCTCAACAGTAAAGAGAAGCCATCAAAACAACAAAAACTTATAGATGACAACCAGTTCACTGAAGTCCCTCATGAGGGTCTGGATGGCGGTTAACATAATAGAGAAAAAAGGACCAAAAAAATAGAGAATAGAGAATAACGGGATGCTAAAATAATAAGAAAAGAGAAAACTGGACAAAAATATGTAAAGAAAAGGGAAAAATGGCCTAAAAATCAAAACAGAAATAACATGAATAAAAGACCCCAATCCAGACCCTCAAAGAAACCACGTTAAAATATAAACAAGGATGCACTTATATCTGAGTTAATCATCTGTAAACACGGTGACGTCATGTTTTTTGCAAATTATAAGTTATCTATTTATGTTTATCCTGTATAAAAATGAACTAAAAACAAGAAAATGGTGTGATTGTCTTCCGGGCCATCCTAAGCAACAACATTGAACAAGGATATAGAAGTTTTTGTCCAATAGTATTTACTATTTCATTGTAACAATAAATATACTCAATCATCTTATCGGTTAACAAGTACAAGTTCACTTTATGCATTCAACGAACTATATACATAACAAAATTTATCAATGAATTATTTAATGCGTACCAAAGTAACATAAGCTAATACTATGTTAGCTTGTCTAAAAATAGATGATACTTTGGACTAACATTGTACTTCAGGGGACGGTCATTTGATATTCTAGGGGGATTGAAAAGGGGGGCTGTGGATTGGCTATTCATTTTCATCTGTTGCTATGAATGCTTATTTTTTTCCACGGTTTGCCAGAAGTAATGTTTAAGTGTTAAATTGAGGTTGACCGAGTCGACAATAAAGGCCAAAGAGTAAAGAATAGAGAAAAATAATTTAATAAATAAATATTACGATAATAATGGGGTAATAAACTGTAAAATTAGAGAATCATAAGAGACAAAATAAAGAAAACAGAAATGAGCCCCCCTTTTCAAGACCCTTATTGTATTTTGTGTAAACGGCTATGGATTTCAATTAAATTTCATCGCTTTAAAGTACAATTGACAGTTCATTTAAAGTTTACCTTAATTATAATAGTACTCTCATAAGAAGTTTTCTTGTAATTTTTTTGTATTTCTTTCGAAATTGCATAATACATGATTAGATACGATGTATAAATGTACGTAACATTTGTTAGATTGATCAAGTTATAAGGATATAAGAAAATGTATTACGATTGATTAAGTTAATTAAATGCCGCTTCTGACAATTTCAACTTCTGATCTATTTTAAGGTATTATTTCTTTTTTGTAATGCATTGTAATTACTTATGT